GTGTTGTTGGTCTTTGGGCTGGCTTAGTTATCGGTTTTGTAACCGAATACTATATGAGCAATGCATACAGGTAATCTGCTGTAATGGCATTATTGTTTCCATGACTTGTACTTTGTGATTGTTGATTTTAACATGTTTGATTTCTCCGGAAGCCCTGTACAAGATGTTGCTGATGCCTGCAGGACTGAAGCCACAACTAATGTTATTTTCGGACTTGCATTGGGTTACAAGTCTTGCATTATTCCTATTTTCGCCATCGCCGCCAGTATTTTCGTTAGTTTTAGCTTCGCTGCTATGTATGGCATTGCTGTTGCTGCCCTTGGAATGCTGAGCACCCTAGCTACTGAATTGGCCATTGATGCTTATGGTCCCTTGACAATGTCGGAGGCATTGCCGAGATGGCTGACATGACCCACAATATACGAGAGCGAATTGATGCTCTTGATGCTGCAGGAAACACCACTGCTGCTGTAGGAAAGGTTTGATATTGTTATAACAAGTTCAAATTAAAGTGTAATCTTCCCCATCGTCGCATTAACGATTAAACAGGTACTTACTTGAACACACTGCATTTCTTTCCAGGGTTTCGCCATTGGTTCTGCGGCCCTGGCATCCCTTGCTCTCTTTGGTGCTTTCGTGAGCCGTGCTGATATTACAACAGTCGATGTATTGAGTCCTAAAGTTTTCATCGGTTTGCTCACCGGGGCAATGCTTCCTTACTAGTTCTCTGCTATGTCCATGAAGAGCGTGGGAAGTGCAGCGTCGAAGATGGTCGAGGAAGTGCGCAGACAATTCAACACGATCCCAGGTCTCATGGAGGGCACTACTAAGCCTGACTATGCTACATGTGTTAAGATTTCCACCGAGGCTTCCATAAAAGAAATGATCCCACCTGGTGCACTTGTTATGCTCACACCGCTCGTAGTGGGGATCTTTTTCGGTGTTGAAACTCTCTCTGGTGTACTTGGTGGATCGCTCATCTCCGGTGTCCAAATCACTATCTCTGCATCCAATACTGGTGGTGCTTGGAATAACGCCAAGAAGTACATTGAGGTATACATATATATTTGATTGATTTCGTATGAGCTAATCTTAAAATTAAACCTTATTTGTTTGCGGGCTGGTGCTTCAGAACACGCAAGAACACTCGGTCCCAAAGGATCAGATGCGCATACGGCAGCTGTTATCGGCGACACCGTTGGAGACCCTTTAAAGGACACATCTGGACCATCACTGAACATCCTCATCAAGCTAATGGTGGTCGAATCACTCGTCTTCCCTCCCTTCTTTGCCACACACGTTGGCTTGCTTTTTAAGTTATTCTAAAGAAATGATGATCATTGGCTGATGGTCCACCAATTCCAGTTCTTCCCGGATTTAGTTTTGTAGCAGAATTTGGAATTCCGGAGATTGTGTCGAAAACGTTTCACCTGGTAAAGGTATAGAATGACAATGATGATGAGTGTAGGCATGGATTATTGCTTTTGATTTGTAACGTGATAGAAAGTTGATTAGAGATGATGAATCCAATATCGAATCTGTTTTTTTTTTTCGAACATCATTTATTGTAATTAAATTTAAATATTAAATCAGATTTAAATGAGGAAATAATATGAATGATACCATGTTTTTTAAGTAAAAATCAAATTTATAAGATCCTTAAAAACGAATTTAAATTTTTTTTTTAGTTGATTTAACTTTTGAACAATCTAAACTCTAGTAGTGCCTCCATTCAGAATCTGATTTTGCTGATCCATCATCCATGCTGGTGATCTAAGAGATAAATACCTCAATCCAAATGTTTGTTTTCTCTGAATTGATTACTGTTTTTAGTAAATAATTTCCTTTATTGATCAAATCAACTGGAACCGAATTTATATACATTTCAAAATAAACAAAACTAAAACTAAACGATGGATGAAAAGTGCGCTCCATTGATCAACATGCCGTTGTTGTCTTGACCATAAACTATATGTTGATCAATTGTTGCTGCCCTTTCCAGGTAAGTATTGCAACAAAGATCGTTCCCCCCTATTGCTTCTCCTTGTGCTATCCACAAGTTTGAACCTCTGGCTCGAAGGGTCACGCGTTGTCTTATGCATTTGCAACAGTTTGTGATGATAGTGTTGTCCGAACCTACATCGAGGCAAATGGATTTGCCATCTCTGAGCTTAGCCGAGAGATGCATCTTGGAATCCAATATCATTTCCCATCTCGAATTCAAGCCTCTGCAAAAGATATCCAGTTTTGCCGATGCCCCATATTTGTCGGCTTTTAAACATAAATGTTTTCCTTTTACTTGAAACGTCTTCTGGGGAGAGTAACTCCAAACGTAGGAGTCGGTGCATGGACCTAACCGCAACCGGAGACCAAATGATTTCCTTGTGATACAAAGCCCTGTTAAGGGATGGAAGATCACTTTGTGCTGTTTGACTTCCAACAGACCCGGACCTGCATATGTCATTGCGGAATAAGGAAATATTTGCATCAAGTTTTTTTTTCGGTTGACATCAATCTAAAATCAATAATAAAAAGTAAGACACTAATATAGGTCGCCTTCACTCACGTAATAGCTCCCGGTCAGAGTCCACAAGTCCAATCCAAGTCAAGCTCAGCTGCCACACCCAAGAAGCAGTTCTAATACCTATTGCCATTGACAATGGCTCCGGTTTGGTCGATCCAGAATTTGCTAATGAACAACGGGTATCCTTGATCAATCAAATACCCAGATGTCTTCATCATTTATGTCGCAACTGTGCCACAAACTTCGTTTGGGTTTCCGGTCACCCATGTTCACGGCCCATCAGAGAATCCATACCAGTGCGCCTCGAATACTACTTTCCCACTAAACGTGAGTTTTACGGGTTGAGTCTTGATGAATAACAAGTCTCTGTCGAAATCAAATCCAGAGAGTATAACGAGAACATTCGGATTTGCCGAGTGCACTACTTCGGCTCCTTTCTGCATGTACTTATACCAGTCTTTCTAGTTCTGTTTCGGGCCTCTTACCTCGTTCCTCAAGCTCATGCCGACCACGTTGGTGACACTGTTGAATAAGGTGGCCATCGAGTCAGCCCGGTGATCCATTGATCAGGCTCGAAAAATTTGTCGCCGAAGAAACCACTGTCGTCTAAATTATTGCAGTACCAACCGGGTTTGCTTATGTGATTGTCAAGTACGACCATCAAATTGTTTTCCCCTAAGCTTGACACCACTGCCTGAAATATAAATACCAAGACTTTTATTCAATAAACCAATGCCGTAAATTAAGTTTGAGGCATGTTATTTATTGAATGCAAATGGGAGAAAACAAGGAGTTGGAAAATCTGTCATACTTGGTAAGCTTTGATGAGGGGAACATCGATGAACGATGGGTTGTTAGCTTGGATTCCGGCGATGGATTCAAGGAAGCCGAGTTGTTGAAATGATTGTCTAACGGTCATGGATGCCAAGAGTCATTGGTGATCAGATAGACTGGCCAAGTGTACCTAACGCAGTTAAACCCCATTGACACATCCGTTTGGCGACCGTATCCATAGGCTGCTTGATGAGCCGCAAGTATCAGTTCTGAGTGAGACGACCAGTTCACACACGCCAATTTAACACGTCATCCTCCCTCGTCAACAATCCATAGTGAATTAGTCGAAAGAGGCAGGGGCATGATGATGGGAAAGAAGAGGAAGAGGAGGAGAATAGACGATGAAACGAAACCTGTCATGCCTTTTGTTTTGACTTGAAGGAGGAGAATAGACGTTGAAGGGGAACTTAGACTTGAAGGGGGAGAATAGAAGTTGAAGGAGAACTTACTTGAGGGGTACAGTGGATTAACACAAACCCTATTCTAAATACACTTGTTCTTTCAACTTTTATTAATAAATTTGAGTTATAATAGGATTGGTTGGATGATTCTATTTATAATTAGCAGGTTTTATTATTTGTAATAATAAAATATAAAATTTATATGAATTTTTGTTCCAATATATAATTTAATACATAAATTTTGATTTGGAAACTTTGTTCTAATTTATGCATGAAGTTTTAATTTTATTTTAATTCAATTATACACAGTTAAAGAAATAAATCCATATTTCTTTCTATTTTCATATTAAATAAACATAATTATTTGTTGCACGTACGTCGACAGTAGTGTTACATGTTTGTTAAAATTTAATCAAAACGACATTCATGGAAAAGCAACATTACCAAGCAATAAGGAGAACATCAAGCTGTTTAACTTCAACTTTTGCAGTTTCATGCGCTGTTTTTGGTCCAAATTATGGTAATTTGAAGTTCCCTGTGACCTCTGTAACTTTTGTTTTAATGTTTCTTTAACAGGTTTGCCTTTCGATCGCTGCTGTCATTTTGTAGTTCTTGGTTGGCTAGGAGCGAATTCAACGATAAATCAACTTCCATGGAAGACCGAAGCTTCGAGCTTTGACATGGATTAAAGCTTCTAACCATGACCTCCGGATAATGGGATCATCCGTGTGGATACAAAACTCGACTTCGCCTTGTCTAATTGCGCAACCCTCTGTGTTGTGTCTGTCTTAAATTTATAGTATCATGTGCTGCAAAGGAGAGGCGGTGGAGGATTCCTTAAATCCGAGTCGGGTCATTATTTTCGGGTGCCATCGCAAGGGTGGTGGCCATTGGAAATCTTCATCGAATTTAACATGACAGGATACAGTGATGGAATGAACTGGATTCTTAACTCGATATCAGAACCGTGGCCTTTGTTCCCGGATACTGGTCACTAGTATTAATTCAGTTCAATTTAGCGGTTGCAGTCGGCTAGCGGCCTTCTCCGGGGTTGGAATTGTTCAAAGCATTCTAGTGACCCTGCCATTGTTACGGAATGTGTCTAGAAAGTTACCGTGGTGATGTTTTGTGGTTACATATTCTTTTAACTTGGGTATGGTATTCCATTGGGGAAGGAGAAGAGAAATATAGAAGCTGTAAGGCTAGTGCATCTCCAGCATGCTAGGATAACTTGAGGTCTCTACATTGAAGAGCAGGGATCTGTATATTTCATTTCAATAAGCGTAATTCATAGCTTGTCATCTACAGTAATTAAGTTTCGCTTATATACGAGCCTTTTTACAGCTAAATTGTAAACAGCATCTACTGCTTGTTTTCTAAAGACTATACTGTCCAAGACTTATACAATACTGCTAACATAACAAACATGGGGAGAGGAGACTATTCTTACACCTTTTTGTGCTAACCTCGCCTCAGACTCTTGAGGTAGTCAGCTCGTATTACCCATAACTCTTCTCCAACGGATTTCATCTCGGGTCGATCGTTTCTTACAGGCGCTGCACATTGAAACGCCAATGCAAACATCTTCACTAGTATATCTTCATCCACAACTTCTTCCATCATTCGATCCGCTAATTCCACTGCATGTCCTTCATTAAACTTAAGGAATGCCTGTATGACATTAAGGCCATAAATTCTGAGTGCCAGTGATTGGAAGCAAACAACAAGTTTCTATTTTTTGAATACTGAATAACAACCTTGGGTTTTCAGTAGCCTAAAGCCAGGAAGAAAAGCTTAACAAATAGAATGCAGGGACAAAGCTTACCCATCTAAGTGTCACACGCTCTTCCACTGGTCTCCTTAGATCCACAGGACGTCGGCCAGTCAGAATTTCGATAAGTAAAATCCCAAACGAGTACACATCACTCTTTGTGTTGAGTTGATAGGTTTTCATGTACTCGGGATCAAGGTAACCAACTGTTCCTTTCACTTTGGTTGAAATATGTGTTTGATCTGAGTCCATAGGACCAAGTCTAGCAAATCCAAAATCGGCCACTTTAGCTCTCATGCTTTCCGTCAGTAGAATGTTGGACGACTTCACATCTCGATGAATAATTTGCTTCTCTGATTCATGATAATTTAAAAAATTGCTTAAAAATAAAGGAGTAATACCATAGGTAGGTGAAACACTGGAAATAAATAAGTGGTTTACTTGTGCTATGAGTTGGCCAAAGCCGAGCTAATTATGCGAGTTTTTTTCTTACCTGCATAATGATGTAGATAAGTAAGGCCATGAGCAACATCAATGGCAATTTCAAGGCGCTGATTGAAATCCAGGATTTTGCCACGGTGACCTGCAAAGGAGTAGTAGCGAATATTGTTAGTAGGATTTTAACAATATTGTAGACCAACAAATTTGGCAGTTATTATGGTCTCAAGAGACCTTACCATCTAAATGATCTCTTAGAGTACCATTCGGTACATATTCTGTAATGATAAGCCGTTCATTTCCTTTATCGACATAACCAAGAAGCCTCACAAGGTTCCTATGATCAATCTTGGCTAGAAGTTCAACTTCATTGCTGAACTCCGTTTGCAGATTCTCGAATTGTTCCTAGACAATATTTCTAACGTCAACCAAAATGGAGCACCCGAAAATAAGATGGTTTAAACCTTAAATCGTAAAACAATCACTAAAAAAGAAAACTTATTCTAAGCCAAAGCCAAGTTCATCACCAGTAAAGCAAAAAATGAAAAATTCTAGCCTAAACAGTTACCATGTGTCCATGTCAATAATCCTTCAGAAAACCGGTTTCAGAATTACTCGACAAAATATAGAAGAAATAGAATCTCCATCGTTGTATTTACTTACCTTCTTTGCTCGCTTAATGGCAACCATCTGGCCGGAATCAAGTTGAGCCTTGTAGACAGTTCCAAAATCCCCTTCATCTATTTGTAATGCTGGTGAGAAGTTATGGGTAGCTCTGGTCAACTGTTCCATAGTGAGATGCACTGTCCCGGTTCTATTGACGTTTGGAGAAATTGAGAATACTGAAGGACTCGGAGGAACCTTTTCAGGAGGAGCATGAACATTCATGTCGAAAGGGGATGTTGAATCACCTGCAAGAACAAAACCATTCATTTATAACTAGAAGCCGAAACAACACAAGGTAATTATGCCACATTAACGGAGAAGCTAAACTGAAAAAGACATGATAATAAAGACTAAATACACAGTTTATATGTTAGTTACAAATTGTAAAAGTATGTTTGATAACTGAAAAATTATATTTTTGAGAGACTACTCTAAAAACTTGCATCTAATTATCGAATCTTATATAAAGGAAACCTCCTTCAGAACTTTTAGAGTTAGAATTTTGATAAATGCCAAAACCCTCAACATAGGGTTTAGATAAGTTAACTCACTTGAATTTGGATCCTTTTTAAGAACAGTGGGGGCAGTTCCTCTCTTTTTCCTATAAACACAAGGGCAGATAAAAACACAACATGTCAAAAAAATTCCAGATACTACTATCCCAACTTTGGTTGAGGCCGAATGTCTCTTCGCTTCTGGATCATGATCAGGTTCATCTTTTTTCTTTGGTTCTTGCAATAATTTCCTTCTTCCCATGGACACATCAGCTACAAAAACCATGATATTTTGATAAACATTAAGCGGAATTTACTTACCTTGTGCACTAAACCTTTCGTAACTAAAAACATGTATCACAGTGCACACCTGATGAAAGGTCCAAACCACAGTAATCCGTTCCAGTATAACCTTCAAACAAACAATGATTTGCATAGTGCAACTGCAGGGCCTTACAGAACAATACTTTATCTACTAGATTACCATTCAAATAAAACAATTCATGACCAAACGGATTAGAATACGCTAGGTGATCCGAGCCACAAATCTTTGACTTCACCTCAAGACCAGAGGCAAAGAATCTCGATATTTGCACAAACAACAGTAAACAAAACAGTAAAGCAGCCATTCTCAGTGAATTGACACAACTTCGACAAAAGAAACAGAATTAAAAACGAAGCATCACTTATTCGGCTAGTCGTTTCTCCTTCAATGAATGTTCTCCGTAATCAATACAACAATGTAAACACTAATAAGCTTAATTCAAAGGTGTTGATTGGTCTCAACAGGCATCCATATTCAACAGACTCAAAAGAAGCTCAAATTGATTCTCTATTATCTCCAACTTAACTAATTAACAAAGAGCTAATTCCATCATCTAGCGACACCTGAAAAGTTCAACCAAAGCTATAAACTCTAAGATCAAGTGCACTTTTAGCTGACAAAGTAATAAAAAAACTGAAGTTGCCACAAGTGTAGGAGAAAAATTCAACCACCTCAAAACCCTCAAAGGAATCCACAACAGATGAAATGAATTCCAAACGACCCAGTTCACAAAATCAAGAAATGAAACAAGCCCAAAAAGCAAAAGCGTTTAAAAACCTCAAAAGAATCGAACAGAAACAAAGAAGTAGACAGAAACCCAGACCTGAAAAGTGACAGAGGGCAGCTAATTAAGGGTGAAGAGAATAAAGAAAGTAAGGTCGTTGATTTTGTATGATAATATGTAGTTACAGTCGTGGTCTTAGCGTGCGAAATATCAAAGAAAGACACGACCAGGAGGCCTTTTGCTTGAAACAAGGAATAAGAGACGATAAGGTGTGAAGGTGTGGGCCTTTAACCAAAGTCATTTGCTTTAAAATTCCTAACTCTCATAGTCTCATACATAAAATATTAAAGCTCAAGGATAAGGGTCGCATTTTAGAAATTTCAAGGGGGAGCTGTACCCGATTAATGCACGGATTACCCGTCTAATTCAATAGATCCGATTCATAAAATAATACATAGTAAGTAATTTTTTAAAAAAATTTAATTTTTCATATTCTTTAAAAAATTGAATTTAGAATATATTATGTAAAGGATGAGTTTACAACGCATGTCACACATTACAATATACCACTAAAACGATACACAAGATCACACCACTAACTAAATTATTTTTATTAAATACTTATAAAAATGGTAAATTATCATTTTTATTTTGTTTTAATATCTAAACTTTATTTTTTTTAAACCATTAACGCATTGTTTATGTAGTATAACATGTTAGTTTTTTATTATTTTTAATTATCATATCACTTTTTATTTATCCATCTGTATTTTTTATTTAATTTCATTCAACCATTTAGATAATGACATGTGTCATCATCTATGAGGATCAAAAGATATAATTAATTTGGTCTTAGTATGAATTCAACTTGGGACTTTTACATGAGGTACAAATCACTCAACCATTAAGTTAAGCTCGTCATTTGGTTAAATTTCATCATATTTTGTATTTAATTTATATAACGGTATCACCATAAAATCAATATTCTTTATAATTATAATATTTAAATATGAGACACTTTAAATTAATGGCCGAAAGTTTAGCGACTCACTATCATGCGAATTGATTTTTATTATATACTTATATAGTTATTAAATTAAAAGACTAATTATCACTTTATTTAAAAATAAAAAATAAATAAATAATTTATATATATATTTATAAAATTTATATGAAATCCTTATAAAAATTACATTTATAATATTATAAAAAATATATATTTAATTTTAAAGTCATATTATTTATTTATTTTTAAATAATATTAGTTATATAATTGAAATAATAATATTTTTCTATTATCTATTTAATTTTAAACAATATTATACGGAATCAAATTGATAGTTGAATATTAAACATGTAATTTATCCTAAATTTTAAATTATTTAAATTAAATAAATAATGTAAAATAATATTATTTCAAATAAATAATTACTATAATTTTAAAAATTAAATTAATATTTTTATAAATATTATAATATTTTAATAATTTCATATAAATTTTATTTTATTTTTATTTTCAAATAAAGTAAAATTAATCTTTCAATTTAGTAATTATACAAGTAAGTATTAAGTTCACTATAATAAACAAATATTCACACTATAGTTGAGTGACCAAACTTTCGATCATTAGTTTAAAGTGTCTCATATTTGAATGTTATAATCATCGAAAAATATTCATTTTGTGATGTTTACTCAAATGACTAGCTTAGCTTAATGCTTGATTGATTTGTATCTCATGTAAGAGATCCAAATTTAATTCATATTAGGAGCAAGAATGATTTTTATCTTTTTATCCTCATAGGTGGTAGCACATATCACCACCTAATTGGTTGAATAAAACTAATTAAAAAATACCGACGAAGAAAGGAAAAAAGTGATGTGGTAATTAGAAAATAAAAAAAATGTTGACATGTCATGCACATAAACAACTAATGTTTTTTTAAATTAAAGTTTAGATACTAAAATGAAACAAAAGTAATAATTTATGTACAAAATGTGTAATTTACCATTTTAATATTTACTTAATAATGGAAATTAGGGGTGTATTCAGTTCGGTTCGGTTCGGTTTTTTACCAAAAATTGAACCAAACCGAAATAAACAGTTTTTCAAAATTTAAACCGAAACCGAATGGTTAAAAAACCGAAAAAACCAAAACCGGTTTTCAATGAAAAAATCACTTGAAACTATAATTTTTTTTAAAAAAATTATCTATTTGGTTCAATATGGAATAAATGGGTTCCATATGGAAAACCCAAACCGAACCGAATCAAAAGAATTGAGACTTTAAACCGAACCGAAAATTGAACCGTATAATGCCAAACCGAACCGAACCGTTTTACTCTGTTCGTGTCGGTTTTTCGGTTTTCTCGGTTTCGTTGCTCAACCCTAATGGAAATTGAGTTAGTAGTGTGTTTTAGTGTGTCATTTTAGTGGTATATTACGATGTGCAATTTGCACTATTGAATTTTCCATTATGTGAAACAATTTTAAAGTATCACATGATTTTTTATAACGAAAATTATTATTGAATCTATTTTGATATAACAAATTAAGGGAAAATGTTTTTGGACTTGATTGAATTTATGCAAAGGTTTCAAAAATAATTCAAAGTCTATTAAACAAGATTTTGAACACAAAAACAATTTTCTAGGAAAGAAGTATTGATCTTACGTAACACCCTAAAATTTTGTTTAGTGACCAAAATATAAATTTTCAAAGTTTAGTGGTTAAAGTATAAAGTTTGGAAAAGTTTAAGAACTAAAAGGGTAATTTTCAAAAGTTTAGGGACCAAAAGTGCAATTTCCAAATGTTAGGAGTTTTGACCCATAAATGAACAATTCACCCCAAAAAAAACAACGTTTTGGTGGGAATCAAAATTTTGATATGGAATTTATGTTAAAAGCTAGAAAGTGTTAAAGTCTGATAAAATTCGGTAAATCGGATTGAATAGAAATTTTGAGAAAATTGAGGGATATTAAATTAAGATTAGAAATATTATTTCCACATTTTAAAATGATGGAAAATAATATAGATAATTGGATTTGAGAATTAATTTCCATGTCCAATTTGGACCGTTAGATTAAAGTGACAAGATTGAAATTTTTGAAAATTGCATGGATAAAATGGTAAAGGATACAATATTTTGTCCATCTTTGAATTTGGAAAGGTGATAAGGTTATGGCTTGGTATGGATGTAAATATGAGGATTCATTAATGGTAGAATAGTCATTTCACATTAAATGAATTTTAAATTCATTTAAGCTTAATAAATGGTAAATTAACATGAAGTTACTTAGAAAATTTCACGAGACAATCTCACTTCAAGCCTCAATTTCGTGCTCTCCATAAACCCTAGGTAAGAGAATTTTTCATTTTTGATCAATATCCTTTGGTTTTTGGATTAAAGCATGAAATAGAAAATTGTTCTATTCGAAGAGCTCTATCATTTGATACCATTATTGCATGCTAGTCTTGCTTGAATGTTAAGTTCCCAAATTTTAGGGTTTTTGTTCATGTTAGGGTTTCATGAATTAATGAAAGATTTTGAGGTTATTGAGGTTGTTGAATCATTTCCAAGCTTGTATGATGATCAAAACCTCCTAGAAATGCTATTAATGATTCTCGGCCTAAACCCTAATTTGGAGAAGTTTATGTTTTGATGAAATTTGATTAGGGGTTTAATTGTAGAAGTTTGGAAATGTTGATTTGAGGTTGATTTCATGCTTGAATCAATTGAAATCAAGTGAAAATGTTATGTTTGGATAAATTTGGATCAAAAGAAACTTGAATGGTCAATTTGAAGTGTTAAGGTCAACATAGATTTTGGTGACATGAAATTAGAATCGAATGAGCATCGGAAGATTTTTAAGAATTTATTTCCTAATGTGTGCCTATGTTAGTAAGATTCTAACATTTGGTTTAAATTTGTATATGTTTTATAATGATGCTCATTTAGATTGTGTGCTTGAAATCAAGATCAAACATTATTAAAAGCTAAGGAGAAGCATAAGGATGAAATGTGAATCTATAAGAAAGGTTTACAAGCTAAGGACACCAGGTGAGTGTAAATTTAATTTGTACATATGTTATCAAACGAATATTGGCTTGCAATGAGCCAATGACGGAGTTAATATGGTAAGAAGTGACTCCTATTTTCTTTGTGATTTATGGTTTATGTATACATGTGCATTTGGTGAGCTAATAGAATTAGTGAATAAGCTGAAAATGCAAATTGGTGAAATCTGCCTAGATTTGTGTTATGAACAGTAAGTTTAGAAAATCACCATAATTTATACAGAAATGATTAGGGGGTGATTTTTATACCTTTGAATTTGTATATTAGTATAATTTTATTTAAAATAAACGGAAACTGATTTCTAGACATATACAAAAATATATGAATTTTTAATCGAGGATAGGTCAGAAAACAGGGCAATATATTCTGCTCAAAATAGCTTCTATAAGTCAACTTTGGAAATTCACTATAAATTGTACAAATGGAACTAGAAGGAGTGACTTATATGATTGGATTTGAATTTGAGTCTAGTTTCCACTAGTATAAATGAAATAATTTTTAAGTGTGTATATTAATACAAAATAATATTTATTTGAAGGTAGTGCAAATTGTCAGAATATGGAATTGTGATAAAAATTGAGATCAAACCAAATTGAAAGTGAAGGATTAAGTTGAAGTTTAGTGACACTTATATTGACTTGTTTATAATTTCAAAGTGAGTGCAAGGCATGCATAACATCATACATTGATGTTTTATACATCATCGGGTAGGACTTGCGATAAGTCTACTTTATTTCTGGTATGAACTGCCCAATGTGAAATTATATTAATATACTTTGCCATGGATGGATTAAATAATTATAGAATATATGCCCAAGTATGTCATTGAGGGTCAGTGGTATTGATGGCATGCCATAGAGTCCATTACCTACAGGTTTTCAGCACTACAGTGTACAAGGAAACTTAGTGTAAATGGTGGGCACAACCTTATGTATCATATTCGGATCAACGTTAGAGTGTAAACCTAGTGTAGGTGGTGGGCACAACCTTATGTGTCATATCCAAATTAGCACTAGAGCGTAAGCTTAGTGCATGTTTAGCACTACAATGTATATATTTGACTCAAATATCGGGGTCCTCATAGGTTTATATTTTGGGCTATGATTTATTGGATAATAAATGAAAAACATGTGAATAAACTTATGAGCTTATAGAATAAATGGCAAGTATATTG